CGTATGAAGAATTGGTGCCTACAGCTTCCTTTGGTCTGAATTTATGAAATGCTATGTGCAGTGAGTTGCTTCACCCTTTGTAGCACTTTCTGAGTTTGCATGGATTCTTTGGAGGTTTTGCTATAATGGAAGCAGTGTTAGCTGTAGCTCATGAAACCTCTTTACCTTTTTTCTGTCTTTTTCTGATCCCTCTCACAAAGATCCCATTAGTTATCCTATTCCTTTAGTAATCCACATATGGCACTGTTTTCCTTTATAACCTTGGCCTCAGACTGTGAGTGGGCAAAGTGATACCCACACGTTTTGGGCACCGAGTAGAGGAAGTGACTGAGAAACCTTCTTGCTGTTTCCATTGCACATAGCAGGGAACTCGTCCTTGCAGTGGGGCTGCTGTCATCGTTTCACCCCACATAACTTTCCTCCAGTAGCTGCTGAGCCTTGTTAAGCACAAGGCTTGTTACAAATGGATTCCTGAGCTTTGCTGCACTGTGATACTGCTGATAGGGATGAGGATATGTAGGTATGCAAGTAGGTGGAACCTTTCTAATACATCGTAAGAGTAATAATAATAATAATGTGCACTTCTACTGCCTTGCAGCTTTCTCTAGATCTTCTGCCCACACATCAGCCTACTTGGTTCACAATGCAGTGTGCGTGCTAGACAATTAGTGGTTGATAATGAAAAATGTCATGGGAGCCAGCAGGAAAATCATAGCTTACTCCAAATATATAATGAAATGTAATTAGCACAGACAGTAAAACAGACAATTTATGGTTTTTTTTGTAATTAAAAAGTACCAGTAAATATCCCTTTTGCAGGAAGCTTTGTATCAAATGGAATTAAAGAGCTATTGTCTGGAATGGGATTTTATGCAAAATTTAACCCATGCAGAGCTGAATGGATTAAGGTTTTGTTAACTGCAGACTGCCCAAGTGAATCTACTGTGGCACTTCTTGTATTTGTTCTCCTTGTTCTGGTCTGTCTGGATGGGCCAAGTCTGCCAGCAGAATTGCTATGAAACCTCCTGCAGGCCAATTACCCAGCCATTGTCAATGCATGTAAAGGTGTGGCCAACACTTCCCTCCTGCTCTTCCAGATGGATTCTTCCCTGAAGTCATCCTGTAGTGTAGAGGTAGCTTTGAGGGAGAGGATGGACCAGAAACAGCACTGTGATATCTTTCCTAGCTTGGAGCCATTCACAATGCACCTCTTGTTTGTTCTTAAGCAGTGTATGCAAAGCAGTGTGTGCAGTTTTGCATGCCGTCAACCTGCCAGGAGCACAAACACTTTTTCTTGGCTTGCACTCTCACCTGGGCAAAAGAATGTGTGAACCCACTGTGGTATTCCACAAAGGTGTCTGTGGCATCAATTCCTTTATTTAAAACCGGGTGATTTGGAGAGTCCTGGCTGAATGGACTGTTCTTACCCCAAGGCATGTGGTGGACAGCTCCTTCCCTGGACTTGGGTGCCCAGGGTTTGAACCAGCAGTTGAATGCCTCAGTAAATTTTCTCTTCTTGCCCTCAGTCTGTCATCTATTGCTGTAAGGCTGAACACTCCAGCAGTGCTGTAGCACAAGTGATGTGTGTGCATTTCTGCTGCTCATCCTCTCCCAGGCCCAGACATTCCACCACACACCAAACAGAGCTCTACTCCAGATCAGTTTGACAATAATTTCCCAGGTGTAGTCTTAGCCTAGAGTTTCAGGTCTGCAGAGAAAGCCCTCCAGCTGAGGGTTGACAGAGCTGTCTAAGTGGTCCGGACTGTATGCAGGTGCAGCATGTTTTCCTCTTGATGATGGAGGAGCAGATTGTCCACAAGTCTCCTATCACAGAGGAAAATGAGCTTCCAGCTGGAGTCAAGTGCACAGACTGTAACGTTTCTACCCACATATATGAGACAGTGCTCGGGTGCAAAATCGCAGCCCTCCCTCGGAGTCACTGTGGCACAAACCTCTAATATCTGGCACAGATAACATGGGGGAGAGAAGAGGAAACTTCTTAAAGCTGTGGGACAGGATGCACCTTGTGCTGCAGAACTCTCAGCTACCTCTTTACAGTTAGGCAGCCTGTCTTTAGGAAAGGGACTCTGTGGTTTGCTATGGGAGCGGGAGGTGTCAGTTCCTGCCAGAACTGTGGTGGTCTTTCTGGGGCACCTTTCCTCTGCTTGGTGCCTACAGGGAAGGGGAGGAGCGGTGCAGGGATCTCAGCCCTTGTTAGTAGCTGGCTGATAGTCTGTGCTGTTCAGGATGTCTGGGGGGTGAGGTGGGGGAATGGTCTGTGCAGTCCCTTCTTACCTATGCTTCCAAAGCCTCTTCCTCTGTGCAGACACAGTTGATAGTGTTTGGCTTTGACAGCTTCCTCCCAGAAGCTGCTGCTGCAACTTTTATGAGCAATGACACGAGATGCCTTTTACAGCTCTGTCCCAGAGTAGAGGAAGCCTGAAGGGTCATCCCAGGTCCTATGCCACTGCACTACAACTTTCTTGTTCCTCTGTAGCTGACTAGGAAACAAGAATAGGTGGACAGTAATGCTGTTGTGCTGATCTGAGATCCTTTAGAGCAAGTGAATAGCAGCTTATAACTTGTCTCCAAATTTTACTTTCAGGCTGCCTAGTCTAGTCAAGGGTCTGCATTTTCTTCTGGAATTTTTCAAGGTACTGTGCATGTCTGTTAGAGAAAGGGGCACTTTGAGGATTTCTGCAGCTGGGGGTCATGTGGCATATCGGAGCATGTGCTGGACAGTTTGTGTTTGAAAATATTGGGGGCTTGTTTGTGCCCTGTCTGAGAAGTGGAAACCCTCAACATCTCCTTGGGCTCAGAGCTGAGATTTTATCAAAGGGCTTAACAAATAGTAACAGCAGTGTCTGCCACCCCTCTACATCACACTCTTGGTAATGAAATTACTCACATAGAGCCTTCAAACTGTGATTGTCAGTTTGCTACATACCTGCTCCAATTTCATGCACACACACTCACATGCACACACACTTGCAAGCTGAGATGTGGTGATCCTGAGTGGTTTTTGTATGTAAGATAGAGCATAATCCTTTTTCCTACATACGCCATGCTCAAGAAAAGGAGGGGTCAGTGATGGGACCCAACTAGGCTTTCATGTATATTCTGGCATTATGGCTACTTTGATTTATGCTCAGCTCCTTTGATTTTTACTTGGCTTCAGCAGCCAGTTAATGGTGACTTCAGCAGCTGAAAATAGCCAGAGTAGATGTATCACTCAGCCACTCTCATGTTCCCAGCTCTGCTCCCAGGGTTGAGGTGTGAAGTGAAGATAGGTCTGGTATGTGCCTGCCAAATTATCCAGGGAAGCAGTGGCACTGATCTTCAGTGCTGTCAGGGAGACCTACTGTCTTTATGGGCTGCTTAGTGCTGGTGTGACATAAAAGGGACACAGAAGTAATTGCCAGAGAAGTGTCTGTGCCCATGCAGAAGAGAGAAAAGGAAATGTAGACTTGATCTTGTTGTCATTTAAGCTGCTGTAATTCAGTGCATACTTCATTTCCTTCCTTAGGCTGGAGTGACCAAGATCAGAGCCACCTCCAGAGTTTGTGTAAGCCATGTTCCTCTGGGTTCAGTCCTAAACACTTGTCTGACTTGTATGTGGATTGCAGCTATGCACTGGTGATTTTTGTTTCCAGCTGAGGCAATTGAGGCATGTTGGCTTGTATTAATTTAGGGGTTTTTAATCCCCTAGATGACAGTCCTGCTATGCAATAGCAAGGTTGTAACTAAAGCCAGTGTAGCTCTTCTTACCTAAATCTTTTGCTGAGTCAAGTCTTGTAAACTCCCAGTGGGATGTTTCACAGGCAAGGCTGACTCTGTTTACATCTCATCCCATGAGCTCATCTTGTCTGTAAGCTGCAGCTTTGCAATAACAGGCATCCCTGGTGTGCCACTGATGCTGCTGATGTTTCATTTTTTATAGGGTCTTTGACTTGAATTGAACAACTGAACTTCACCCCTTCCTGGTGAAGTAAGTACCAGGAAAACAAGCCTTTTTCTTTTTAGATGGCACTTACAGTTTTTGATGTGTGTGCCCTTGTCATCCACATCAGATGATGTATGTAGTGTTTGTCCTTTGTTTTGGCATTTTGATATGTGTGAGAGAGGTGAAATGGCTTTAAAAGCTTTTTCCTGGCGCCTGTGGTTTGTTGCAGACCCAGTGGTACAGGCAGAACATGATAAATTGAAATAAGATTGTTTCTCTGCAGTTTGACATAGGGATCATTTAGATGCGTAGTACTAGGTTGTCAGCTGGTGCAAAACCACTGTGCTCATTATGTGGCCAAACCTGACACCAAAGGAGCTAAACTGAGCTGGAGTCTGGTCTTTTGCAGCAAAGAATGGTAATCGTGTAGTACAGTAATGTACTTCTTACTTAAGGGTAAAGCAACAGTTGAAAGAGGATCATAGGCTATACATTAACCTGGTTCTTAGTAAATGTACTGAAGTTCATGAGCGCCTTTATAGTGTAATCTGGTGGTTTAAAAGAAAATGCAAAAATTGCAAAGGAGGTGTTGGGGTCTTTTGACCCCTAAGTTGCTCCCCTCTCGCAGCAGCCTCTGAGAATTTACCACAAGCTGTGCAGAAATGGTTTATGACCAACTGCTGTTTCTTGGCTGATTCTTGTTGCACTTCAGAGTGTCTCTCTTGAGGCTGGTGGAATTCTGCATTGTTATGAAAGGTTATTAAAATCAGAGCCTTTCTTGGAGTTCATCATGTGACAGAAACGAAGACCTTGATCAGAACCAAGTTTGGTGTGTAGTGTACATTACATTTACCACAATACCTCCCGTAAGTGAGCCCAATGCGGATGGTGGCACCAGAAAGTTTAATGCATTTAATGCAAGTCAAAGTTCTGCTGAATTTCAGTGCCGTTTCTTCTGTGGAAGGGATGGGGAATCAGAGCTGTGGATACAGATGTGGTTAAACCACAACTTTCTCAGGACAATTTTCCCACTTGTGCTGATGTTTTCTTTCCTGAGACAGCTGGGGTTTTACCTGCCGTTGGAGTCTTCATTATCCTCCCTGCAGTCCTCTTCCACTTCATCAACAAGAAGCTCTGCTTTGAAAAGGGAGATGAGCTTCCATGCATGGGGCAAGAAGGAAGAAGAAAACACTACAAAGAAAAGTCCAGAGTTCAAGAGGGCTTTGGTAGGTATCACAGTATTATATTGTGTTTGATGTACAGACTCGAAGCTTTGACTACTGGGAGAACAGAGATAAACCCATTTTCTGTGTCTTGGGTTATTTGTGTGGAAAACAGCAGGGTTTTGGATAGACTATACTAACCTCCAAAACTTGATAAAATGGATATACAGTTGCTACCATGCTCCCATTATCTTTGTTGTGTGAAGTAATATCTTGAAAAATGGAGGGCAACAGTGGGTAAAAAGCACACTCCCCACTCTCTCTGTTGTGGGGGTGTTTTGTTAATCTAGTGAAGAGCAAAATGTGAGCAATTCTGAGTAACAACACTACCTTTCTGCTCATGAAAGATATGCCTGTCCTAGTTTTCTTGTAGTAGCTATTACATGTTCTTTCATGTGTTTGTTTTTATCTGGAAACGTTATGTCTTGGGTAAGTCCTGGAGTCAAAATAACTGGGAGTTTTACTGTGTTACAAAAGTAACATTTTAAAGTTTCTCAGCCATCAAAAATGCATCCATTCTGATAATAGTGGTAACTAGGAATTTGGTGATTTCATGGTACATTTGTTTGTAAATTTGCATGTTAAAAGCGTATAATCATGGTAATAATCAGCCAAGAGGAGGCCTCAGAAGCCTCCCAATTAAAAGGTCTATTCTCAGAGATTCCATCTTAAAGCTAATTGTACAAAGACACGACCGCAAAGTTGTGGAGCCCCTGGAGATTTTCTTGTTGTACATTTTGCCTTGTACACAGAGCTCAGCATGCTTTTGGAAAGGGCGTGAACTCATCATACCTTAAAAGTCCAGGATTTATGGGAAGTTGAAGGCTTGGATGCCATATGTAATAGGAATTCAGTGAGACTGGCTGCTTCTTGCTAAATGCATTAGTAAGCCTGGGACAGGCACCAGAAAGTTAAAAGTACTTGAAATTGTTTCCTTCTCCATTGAAAGTCCCAACTTTAATGTTTCTAAACAAAGACTATGGAGTTTTTTTAATAAGTTTCCTTCTTCGATATTATTTTTAAGTCTTTCTTCCCTTCTCTTCGCCTCTCATCAAGTGGTGTAAAAATGTGGCTTTTATTTCAGTTTTTAAGATGACACATCTCCCAGGAGTGTGTGGGTGTTGACATTCTAGGGAGCTGTCACAGGCTATCGTGTAAACATGTATTTGCAATGCTTTTTAAAATGTGAATTATTAATAAACAGGGTGGCTGGCTTTTTTTGTGTTTTGTTCCTTCCAAATTTTGAAGGACAAAAAATTGCTTCCCTGCTGACACACTCGGTGGCAATTTTCATTTCAGACTAAATCTTATGTCTGAGTAATAAACCTTTGAAAACATGGGTTTATAATGGAAACACTAATTCAACTTTAACTACAGCTGTGCCATACAAGCAAAATACCACACACATTAATGAGGTGCTAAATCTGATACGGCAGAGGAATGTGTTGTAATCATTAATTACAATGGAAGCTTAAAGTTGGAGCCTGTTTTTTCCATTCAAACAAAATCAGCTTGGTGAGTTGGAGCTAAGAGCTATTTAAAAATATCACCTCTATATTTAGTTTGAATTTCACCATAGCATTTAGATACTTGTAAGGCCAATATGGGATATGCATGCAGGAAATGCTAATTCTTTTAAAGGACAGCAGCATGAGAGAATATATTAAACCTTGGGCTAATGTAGTGTGTCACATGGCAAATGTAGAAACCTGGAGCCTGAGCTTGGGCTGGGAAGCCAGGAAAGGCTGTTTCTAGCATTGCGGTTGCTTGGTGAAGGAGACTTCCCAAAACGAGTGTTGACTTCTCAGAGTTTGTTTCAAATTCAGAATCTGACTTTGCTTGGTAGAAAGAAGAAGGATGGGAGCGTTTGTAATGTGTAACTTATGTTAGTGTTCACCTTTTGTCTTCTCAACTTATTCTGGTGAGCTGCATTTGTTACAAGGAGATCCTGATTCTAAAGACTCTGCTGTTCTTTAACATGTAATCCACTAATGATTGCTCTTTCCAGTCCTAAGCTCTCACAGGGAAATCTTTTTGGTTCTCCACATCTGGAGATCAATGAAGAGTGGTTAGAATGTGTCTGTCTAAGTAGGAGAGAAAAGCCATTTTGCATTTTGATTCCTCTGGCATGACTATACCATCTGCAGTAGGATAAACCTGAGTTTGCAACAGCATATGCGCATGAACGCTGTAGCCTGAGAAGGTGTGTATGGGTTCAGTGCATGAGATGTTTCTTTTGTCCTTGGATCTAGTTGAGTTTTGAGTTATCTACTGACAAAAATGAATGTTGGTATAGAAACATAAGCATCTGTCTGCACTTTACAGGTACACAGGCTGACATTTAGAAAATGTACTGTAAAATGTCAAAGTTTGTTGTTGGTTTTGTGTTTCTGTGTAGAGCTTGACCTCAGAACGAGGCAAGTGATAGAATGCAATAGGTGCTTCGCTTGTCATGGCTCTAAGATACAACTGACTGGTTTGTTCCTAATTTAATTTTAATTGCACAGTTTGTGTCCTTATGCAAGGAACAGGATAGATAAAGAAAAAATCTTTGTGAAAGTGAGGAATTAATTGAAAACCTTTCAGGAGACTCCAGGACAAAGCGTCTTAATTACTGGGGCACAATGGATAACATTTTTTATACTTGAAGCTTTTGTGGATCCTGTTCTTGACTGCTTCATTGACCTTAGTAATGAGCCCATCACTTGTGCAAGGATGTGCTGCCTTGGTTACCTCTCACTCAGCTGCAGGAGTGCATTCACTGGCGGGGGGGGCTGGAGCTCATCTGGACACAGCCAGCCTGTATTTAGGATGGTCTTGGCACTGCAAGCGAATGCTCAGAACAAGCTGTGGAACCTGATAGAGAACATGCTAAATATGTAACCAATAGCACAGAGTTAACTTCATGCGTATCAAGCTTGCTTGCTTGGCTATGCCCAAGCATGTGCAGAAGAAAGTGATGGTGGCATGAAGCAGTCCTGACACAGCTGGAGTGATGTAGAGCCTTTATGTAGGTCATGTGCAGAATTCCTTACTGAGGAAAAGATTAATCATCAGACCTTTGGCCTTAATATAGTCAGCTGGAGTGGATCCTCACAGCATTTGTAACCTTTCAGGTGGTGTGAGAGTGTGTGTGGGTGAAATTTCCCCTTGGAGCATCCCCCCCAAGCAAGGAAGGAGGACCTTCCCTTGAGCAGAGGTCTGACAAATGTCAGTGGGGTCTCGTATGAGACATTGTGATGCTGTAGCATGAATTTCAGGACTAAGAGGTGGTGATGGTGTTCTTGCATGCAGTGCTGCTGAGCCCTTTGCTTCAGAAGTTCGTGGATGAAATGAACTTCACAGAAACATGACAGTGCTGGGAAAACCCTTGTGTAAAGAGCTGTATCTACCTGTGTGTTTCAGTGCAGTGACTTGAAAAGGGCCTTTTTTGTTCACTACTGTAATCTTTTTATAATGATGTGACCTGAGACTGGGAAAGAAGTTGTAGTTTCCTGACTGTGCTTTATACAGAAATATTCCAATTGTGCTATGCCTTGAACACTTGTTGTGATATTAAGGATGTACTCCTGATATGTGGACTCAGCTTAAACATCATGAGGTTTGAAGAAACATTTTTTTCCATTTTTTCCTTCTGTCTTACAGCCTTGAGGATACTTTCAGTTCATGTTCTCAAGCTGTTCAACACAGCCACTGCTCTAGCCTCTAGGGCTAGCAGCACAGTCAAATAAATGGAGATGCAGCTCTTTTATAAACCACTCATCTCCTGTAGCTGATATTTTAAGGAAAGCATCAACACCTATAACACTCAGCAAAGGCAGGAATGTTATCATGGACGTTGACCTTGCTTTGCGCGTGCAGCCCTGGGCCCAGTCAGGCACCAAGGACCATCATGTGCAGTGTGCGGGATCATAAAAATGCCAGCAGAGGCTTAGCTTCATGTTTAGAAACCAGTAATGTGGGTGAGTGTGACAGTACCAGTCTGGAGTGCACAGTAGACTGTCTTCTTCCGACAGCACGGTAAGGAATGTCCTTTTCCAAAGAAATGCAATTGTGGTTGTTCTTTGTAACCCTGTTGCTGAGTATCCAGTAGTTCCATTGTCCTTGGTGAGGTGTGGGTTGGAAATGAGTATGGGGTTATTTATACCACCTACTTGAGGCATGTGTCTCAGCCATGGTGTTAGGTTCCTTGATCTGCCAGTGGCAAGAGGGAGAGAAGGCCTTGAAAAAGAAATTTCTCAGTGCCCAAATGAAGCTGCTCTTCTAAATTGCTTTTTTTCTTAATTGCTTGTATAGAGGCTTGTAGGAATAGTGGCTGGACATGAAACAGTGTGACTGTTGCCACTGATGTCTACCCTAGATACTAGAGAACCTGGTTTGCAACAAGGCTAAATTAAATGAAGGGGAAAAGGTGAGGGAGCAGTTCTTAAGTCGGTAGGGACAGCTGTACACTCAGATTTACAGCTCTGAATTCTTTTAAACCATTGGAAACCAGGTCTGGCTTTCCCAGTGACCTCTTAGCCTCCCAGCATGTCAGGTTGGACTGATGGTTTGACTTAGCAGAAGTGAAAGGAGATGGGAGCTATACATTTAGCCATGTGTGTACACATGGATAACCAGGAATGAATAATTATCCACTGCATTTGCTACTTATGGCTGTGGATCCCAAAAAGCGCTGTCTGCACTGCTTGATGGTGGTCCATACAGAGCAATTTCCATAGACTCTGTAACTCTGTAATGGAGTGTGTGTGGGGGAAGAAGGAGTAACAGTAACTGGGTGACTTCTCAGAATGTTTCTAAAACATGTTCATTGTGTTAAACAGCTAGACATGCTCTGCACTGCTGATTTCCATGCAAGTAATTGCTCCAATTGATCCTAGCTTGTTGAGTTGCTGCAGACTGGGTAGCATGGTTGCAGGCAGGGTGGAGAGTCAATCTACTGGGTCTGCTCTTTGCAACAGCTTGACAGCACAGGTGGGTGGGTTTGAGTGGTGGTGTAACTT